TTGTTTCCGCCCATGGGTATGTACATGTAGCGCACAATCCACAAATTGAAGGAGGCGTGCCAATCCCTCCAAAAGTCTCGGATGCTCACGGTGTTACTAAAGCACCGACGCATGTCCTCCGGCACGTCAAAGCCGTCCAAGAGTGCCGTCAGACGGTTGAGCTTCCATATCAGACTGAATTTCAGCCAGAGAAAGGCCAAGGAGTAGTATAAGAGGAACGCCCGCTCGCCAAGGCTCAGCTGAAAAAACACTTCCGGGTGCACACGAAAGGCATTAACAAAAACAAAATGAAGCATAAAGACAAGCGTCAGGTACAAGTTGAAAGTCCGCAGGGCGTAAAGAAGTACCTGCCGTCGCGGCACGGCAAGAGTAGCGTCGTGGCAGTGTGACACAAAGGCGTTGAAGGAGGACATGGGACCCGCCACGTACAGTGGGACATACAACATGTATGCAATGTAGCTCAGCACATTGTACTCACGTGGGTGGCGAGGACTCTCCGTACGGAACCTGTAGCACCGTGTGGCCGAAGCGCCCTCGCCGCGGTTCGCCTCTCGCGTCCCAACGCCCTTCAAGCATCAGATAGGCCGCCTTCACTGCAGCGGCACGGTGTCGAGGCGTCGACGTTCGCTTTGCTGTAGGAGGTTGCCGCTGAGAAGTTTATTTCATTTTTTATTATTGATAGTTCCTCTTTTATTCTTCTTTTTTTTTTGTGTTATGCTGCCCAAATTCAATCCTGAGTCACTTTCTGCCTCCTCCCCCTCTACATGTTTTTTTTTCTTTGTGGCTATAAATGAGAGACACACAGCGTCACTTTGTGATTGGTGCAAAGGGGCGAAGGGAGAAACACGCACACATCGACCACATTACGCCTCTTGGAACGAAACATGTGGCGGTGCCTTTACGTTGGCTAACAATTCCTCGTTCTTCCCCCTCTCTTTCTCTCTCCCCCTCTTGTTTTAGTTTTTCCCCGCTTTGCTTTTAATGATCAGCAGCACACCCTACACGCACATGTTTGTTTGTCTTCGTAATGTGAAACGCTCGCGTCAGAGTCTAAAAGTCTAATTTGCTTCTATAAATATGTTACGCGTGACGGCTCGCGATGATGTGACCCACCCTCTACCCGTTCACGCCTCCTCCTCTTCATCCCCGCTCTGCCCCGTGCATTTCTTTCCTGCGACTTCGTTGGGCGCGTCTCGTCGCGCGCTCAGGAAGATGCGGTCGCATCGCAGCTGTGAAGAAGACAGTCCACCACGCACTCCGCGATGTAATCATTCAGCACGGTCTCGCACACGCCTTCCACCACAGCCCGCTCTGCCGCTTGACTGGCCGGCGTCAGGCGCAAAAGAAGATCCTCGTAGCAGTCCAGATCACCGGCTATCCACTGAATGTAACGTGAAGCGGGGCATTCTGGCACCAGCGGTTCAGCCGGCTTTCTACCAGGAGCGTCAAATAACGCTGAACTGTCTAGCTCTGGCTGAGCCGCCGCGTATACCTTGGCCAGGAAGGACCCGCGCTTCAAGCCCGCCTGCAGACTTTCGCGGCGCTTCAGTGGTTTTGCCTCCTCCCACGCAAGAAACTCCTCCAACTCCGGATCCAACAGTCCCAGTCCTTTTGCCGATGCTGAGGGTGAAGCTTCATGCTCTACTTGTGAGGCTTCAGCGCCAAGGTGATTTCCAAAAACGTGCATTAGGCATCGCCTCACTTGCTGCTCATCGTCACATTCGCCAACAGTACGCGAGAAAGGCTCTGACTGTAGTGCCGTTTTGCCCGCGCACCTGTCTTTGACTGAGTTGCCCCAAAACTTGTCTATGGGTTGTTTTTCAGAGTTAAAGGTCGCCACAGCCAACGTCGACGTTGCCGTGGCGCACACCGCTGCGTCCGTGTCGTCCAAGTTGTCATACTTGATTGTGAAGTCTGCTTTGGCAGCCGCCACGGCATGGCCGTTAGGGGTTTCGTCCGAAGCCAACGCAAACGGCGTGTCCACCTCCGGTGACAGCCCCTGGGAGTTGGATTCACTCTGCGGTGTGAACGAGGCTGGGAATGAGTGCGGAGTTGTAGGCTTTTCCCCCACCGTTGAAGTAAAAGCTGCGGCGGCGGCACTGGAAGGGGGCACCGCAACTCCGCAGGATACCAACATTGTTGCTTCCGCGGACTTTTGCATCTCTTCCACATCCTCATTCTCGTCGCTCTCATCCAGCTCAATTTCAATAACATCCGCCTCTTTTGGCGACATTGGCCCTCGGCAATAGCACGGTGGGCTGCTGCTGCTGCTCCGCGTTTCCCGCGCAGCGGCGGGACCCTCTTCTTCTTCCTCCTCCTCTTTCTTCTGCTGTGGCGGCAGCGTCAAGCGCAGCTGCAGCTGGCGTAGGTAGCGGGATTCCAGCCGTGCCGTCCGCTGCATGTGCCGTTGCGCCGCCCGCTGGCGTGCGCGCTCCAGAAAAAGGCGCAGGGCGTCGTCGCCGGCTTCCGCCTGGCCGCGCCCACACGGTGGGCCCACGCCACTCGCCCCACTCCCCACACGACGCTCCCGGGCTCGCCTTGGGGACCAGGCGAAGTCGGTGTCCATTTCCCCGTCCGCTGCTCCGCACCCAGACGCAAGGGAGGAAAAAGAAGAACAAAACAAAACAAAAAGGAGGGGAAGGGCAAAAGACGCCAAAAAAAATAATAATAATCGCAGCGAATCACAGCACCGCCAAAAGACGAACAGGCAGAGAAGCACAACCCCACACGAAGCAAAACGCACCGCCGCCATTGTTGCATGAGATTCCCTCCTCCCCATCCCGTAGTTCTGTGCACCCCCCCCCCTTTCCGCGTCTGAATCTGTTTGAGCCAACAACAAAAACACACAAAACAAATCTGTGAAAGCACATCAATCAATGCACTTTTAGAAAAAGAAAAAAAAAAAGAAAAAAACCATTGAAAGCCATCCCAACAAGGGCAAACCTCAAACCCCACGCAAGAATATTTTATTCCCCACCTTTTCTTGAAGGAAAACACAACAAAAACAGATCATCTTTACCTCCCCGTATCCTTCTTCGTGGCACCGCACACGTATACATGTATACGTACATTCCTTCACTGCGCAACGTCGGCTACGGTTTGTGAAGACTGAAGAAAACGGAGTGACGGTGGACGCCAGAGCAACACGGTTGCGTCATTTTCACAACCGTCTGGTTTTTTCCTTTGCTCGTTGTTCGGCTGCTGCTGCGGCGCTGTCATGTCCAACCGAAACCCGGTGGGGGGAGAATGGACACGCGTCCTTTCTTGTGCCCGTCGCCGTGCACGGCGAAAGCGTTCAGCCACGGCTCCCTTTCCAGTGGAATTCAAGGTCGTGGAAGGGCTGTTATTGTAGCCGTCAACGTCGGCATCATCAACAGCGGCAGGTGAAGAAGCGAAGGGCCGTCGTGTGTGGAGAAAGGTGCCTTGTTCAATGATTGCAGAACTCTGAAGAACGGTTGACAACGGCGGACGCTGCGTGGCCTTCCTTCGCGTCATGGCGTTTAAAAGTTCAACGAGGTGTCGATGAAGCTTTCCACACGAGCTACATCGTGAACCACGACGTTCCTTCACCGTGTGTGCCTCCCGAGCATCCTTGAGCCCTTCAGGCAGTGGGGCGAGAAGGTGCGCGTGAGCATCGCCGTCGCCTCTGCCTGACGACGACTCGCGGCGAATGTAGCGGCGTTCCAACAACTCATTGCCGCAACGCCAGGCAAGGGGCACGGCGAAGGTTTTTCGGGCATCTCCCTCCTCCTTGGCGCCATCTGAAGCAGGCGTCGAGCAACGCATTTCCGGTGGAGCGGAGCGGATGTGGTGTCCCTCGACGAGCTCGCGGTCGCAGCGCCAGGCGTTAGGCACAAGAAACTGCGGCTGCGCCTCGGGTGCCGGGTCAGCCGGCGCCGCCGGGAATTGCGCCGCGGTGTCGTCCTCATCGACCCACTGCGCCCCCAAGGCTTCGGCGTGGTCGCGTGCTGCCTTCCCCCCCGTCTCAGTTCCAATGACAAGGTGCAGAAGCACATGCTGCAGCGTCACCCCCAGGCTGTAAATGTCAGCCTTCGTATCGTACTTCCCGGAGACACCGTTGTGGACGTGTTCAACAACTTCCGGGGCCATAAACGGGGCGCTGCCGCACCTTCCTGAGCCTGCCAGCTGCCCCACACCGGTAGCAACGCCGAAGTCCGCCAACTGTAGGCGCCATCCCTCGACCTGTGGCAGGTAATCAATGCAAACCCTCCGTGAAGACTCGCCAGCGGCATATGGCAGGCGGTATTGTCCACAACCCAGCGGCACCACCAAAGTTGCGGAGGCTCCCTTCGTGAGGTTAGACACTCCCGCCGATGCCGTTGCTGTCGCAGAGTCCTCCTCGGAGCCACATCGTAGACTTTCTGTAGTTGACCGCCGCAGAGTTGCTGGAGACTCTGAAAAAAGGGCAAATTCCACCGAGTCACTACCACTCTCACTCGACGTGGTATTTGTCTTGGGGTCCTCGCTCGGGCTCAAGGGTGTGGTCTCGCCCGGAAGCGTTGTGCCGCACCCGTGCGAAGCCTCTCCACAGGATGCCTCACACACGAAGGAAGAAGACTGCATCGCATACTGCGGCGTCTTTCCCACCCCACTGAAGATCAGCACATTTGAAGGCTTAACGTCACGATGCAAGGTTTTTAAGACGTCATGCGTGTGACGAAGTGCATTGATCAACGCATACGCAATGGCGACAATGTCACGCTCCGAAAGTGCGAGGCAAGGGGAAAATGCAACGGACGCAAGTAAACACTCTGAAGTCGCCTTGGCAGATTCCTTCGCTTCGGCCAGTTTTTTTGGCGCGTGAGTATGATGTGCACCGCAATCGTTGCAGGTAAATGAAGAGATGCCTTCACTGGCGCTGCCAGTTACCCCCTCGTTTCCACTGACGCCATCAGAACTCATTTTATTAGACGCCGTCACGTCTATCTCAACCCGCGATACCAACACTGAGGAGTGCGTTTCAGTCGTCGCCTCCTCAAAAGCTTGCCTGGCTTTCTGGAGCACATAGTCCCCCAGCGTACCTCCCGTGCAGAGTGAGAGGCACAAATCAACGTATGAGGATCCCTCCAGAATCTGTTGGTCTGACACGTTACCCACGGCGTTCGTTTTGTTATTAAGCGCCAACTGGTCTCTCTCCTTCTTCAGGCTTGTAAGAAGTGTCCCGCCCGTGCCGGCGTCAGTGCTGGCGCTTGGGGGGTTCCAAGTGTCAGGGGTCCCTTCTCTCTCCTTCCTTCCAAAAAGAAACCCCCAACACTGCACGATGTTTGGGTGTGGATGCATGCGGATACGCTCCATCACCTGAAGCTCGCGCAGCAGCAGCAGTCGGCGGGACTTTCCAAAGCCATCGCTCGCAGCGGGGACAGCCACACGCTTCACGGCCACGGCAGCAAAGACCCCAAGCAGAACCGTTGTTTCTGTCCTCTCTCCGGAAGCGGTCGCAATGCGCTTGCAGCAAGTCCTCCGCTCCTGCAACCAGGCGAGGCGAACAGTGCCGAATGCCCCGGAGCCAATGTAGCATACGTGCTGCGGAGACCCGACAAGCGACAAAGCAGCAAAGAAAACGGTTTGCTTCGCCGGTACGGGGGAAAAAAGGTCGCAAAACGCATCACCGGGGGCCGGGACACGCAGCATCGCTTCTGTAGGAGGCCCAGAGACGAAACAGCTGGCACGGAAAGAAAAGGGAAGAAGAAAAGGTGAGAGCCACCACAGCAATGACACCAGGCGAAGAGGGTCGGAAGGACTTTTTTCCATCAGACCACAACGCAAGAGATTTCACTAACAAAGCGACAATCAACATCAAACGTCTCGTAAGTATGCCGGCCACGTTGACGCGCCCCAACCATTACGAGCAAAACCGCTTCGCCGGCTAGTTTTTAGACACAGCAACAACAACTCCAAACAGAAAAAAACAGAAACAAAAAAAAAGCACTGCTCGGCCGCGATTGTGGCGGCAATTGGTCGGAGCTTTCTCGTCCCGCTTTTATTAGGCAATAGCCGAGGCACTCCCCGTCGTGCGCTGGACGATGACTGGGTGCGGATCGCGCCGCAGTAAAACGGGGGCGGTTGACAGCTCTCCGCCATGCGCGATGTAAAAAAGAGGATACGCACTACGTGATGGGGGAAGTAAAATAGAATCCAAAGCAAAATGGAGGAGGGTGCCTCGATGGTAAGAAACAGCGCCACGCACGCAAGCAGAAAGGACCGTAGGGCATCCCACGGGGCTGCCCAACGACACCTCCACGTCCACGCTCCGCTGTTGAACCCAAGTGACCCCAGATGGCCTACGCATGCCATGAGCACAGAAGGAAGTCCTCGCTTCCTCGGGACAATGTGTGTCTGGCTGTTTTACACCAATAAAACCCCCTAACGTCACGTCCCCTCCATCTCTCACTCTTTCCTCCTCCCGCTTTTCTTCTGTTCTTTCGTTCGTTCCTTCGTTCGCGTCATTGGAACTTGGCACCCTCAACTTCCTCATCTCTCTCTCCTTCTAGTTCATTTCCTTGTCTACGGGTGTGGAGGCTCCTCCGCTCTTTTTTTTCCCCCTTCTTCTTCTTCCGTTGTAATTTTTATTGCCGCATATGTGTTGCGTTTATTCCTTTTTATTTGGGAAGGGCCCTCGCAACCCCGTTTTCCATCACAAACACCAACTCCCGTCCAGCATCATCCTCATCATCGCTACTCTCCTGCGGCGTTGCAGACCGGGCGCGTTTCCGGTTGGCCTCTTCTCCGTGGGGGGCCTCGGCCACTGCCGCGGAGGCTCCAAGGATGGACGTGCCCTGACACTGTTGGGGTTGGTAGCGCTCCTGCTGTGGAGGGTAAGCACTGTTGGCATCATAGTAGCCTCCAGGTGCCTTCATCGCCGCCGCCGCCGCCGCCGTCGTTGGATCCGTGTACTGCGACGAAGAATCCAGCTGCGCAGAGTAGTACATATGGGCCTGGTACTGCTGCTGTTGCTGTTGCTCCTGCTGTTTCAGTTGCTCCGTGTAAAAAGCGTACCCTTCATCTGTGCCTCCCTGCCCCGCAGAGCTCGCAGCAGCCATGTCACGCCACACCGTGTAGCTTCTAATCAGGTACTGGTAGTACTCATGGTACTTGTGCTCTGGAGACGCAACGAAGGCAAAGTAGGGGTTAAACTTTGTCCGCTTAACCAGGAGATGCTGGTAGCGCGCCCCATCACAGGAGAACACCACGTACTTGGCCGCAAGTTGAATTATCTTGTCCTGATGCTCCGTGATGTCGGGCGGACGAAAGTCGATGGTGTTTTCCTCCTCCGCCACTGACTGCTGCTGGCTGTAGTGGTAGACGTCGGTCGCTTGCCCGGCGTAGTACGTGTCGCCAGCGTAGCTCATTGCCGCCCCGCCCAAGGAACCCTTCCCTCCGCTGCTCCGCCCATGGACGAGGAGGAGAGAGCAAGCAAAAGAAAAGAAAAGGAAAGGAATGCGAGACACCACCACCAACACAGGGCTCACTGCACCTCCTTCACGACACTGCTTCAGAGAACAGTTCCAGTCACTGCCGGTGCTTCTTCAGTCAATAGCGGCAGACTGGCTCCGCGGTGACAACAACAAAAACAACAACAAAAGAAACCGCCTCAGCATCGGCACCATCTACAACAACACGGCTCCAAAACACCACTTCATTCAAGGAGAGGGCACTTATATTGCTACACAGACTACTCTCCTCTCCAACGCATTTCCCAAACTCAGGGCCTACTGCTGTTACAATCATGTGTCATTCTCCATGCCGTGGTGTACGGTGCTCGTGTAGCACCTGTAGCACATCCGGAAATCCCAGTTGTCGGCCTTGATCGCCACAAGTTGACTGCGTACCGGGTATCCGCAGCGATAGCAGACAAATGTTTCAGGCTTTCCACCCATTTGGTAGAGTTGCAGGTTGCCGCGCCTACGCCAGGCGTACATGGCGCCATCGGCTCGTTTTTCGCCAAAAGTGAAGTCGTGCTGCGGCCGAGTTCGAGTGTCTCCGGGGAGGTGCGAGAAGCGCGTGTGTTCCCGCTGCTGCGTCGGTGAGCCGCACTGAATACCACCGATGCGGCGGTGGAGACGGTGGTAACCCTTTGGGAATTGGAAGAACTTGCGCCTGTTGAACTGTGGGCCGGTCTGGTACTTTTGCCGAACGCTCTTCGCGGCGGCACGGCGAAGAAGAAACCCGCCGACACCGCCTTGTATGCCCGCCATGGCACCCGCTTTGTTGTTGTTGTTGTTGTTTTTTTGCTACAACAAAAAAACAAAACAAAAAAAAAACTTCTTCTTCGCCGCCCCACTCTGCCCCCTTCGTACTCAATTGCCACGCCCTCCCTTCCTTCCTTCCTTCCTTCCCCAGGGATCTCCGTCCCCCCACCCCCCCCTCTTTCTCTCCCTGGCACCCAGACGACAAAGAAACGGAGGAAGAATGCACAGCAGCCTCACGTCAGTCAGCTTCCACCACATCGTCGCTCTCGCGCCACACAAGCACGGCAAGGCGCACGTGCACAAGGAGCACAACAGTGTGTTCAGTCGCGCACGAGGTAACAAAACAGCAGTGCTCCAGAAAACATCCTGCGCACACTTCCCGGCCTCTTCTCCCATATTCTTCCTTCTTTTTGGGTTTTCTCTTAATTCCAATGGCAAAAAATTACGCCTCATGAAACAGGCGGCAAGCCGAACACGATCTGCATTTCTCTCCGTCCCAATGAAAGATTTTGTTCTTATAGACATCGTTCCTAACTCTCTTGCCCAGATACATCAGCACTCATAAACGCGTCGAATACAATCTACCGTCGTTTTGCGCTTCGTCAACGGGCACGTGCCATGCGTTCTCGCGTAATCGGTTAGGCATGGGTAGCACCCAACCACACCGCTTATTGTGCAGACTGCGGCATTCGTGACGCGTCGGCCGCACACTGGACACGTGCCAGGCTGCGGCACCGTCGTCCCGGGAGGGACCACCACATCCTCGCCCCACACCGGCGGTGGCGGTATCGCAAGGTCCTCGCCGCCTGAACCCGCCATCGTGAGTGCCTCACCTCCCTCCGTGGCACTAGTCGCACCAGTGAGTTCTAGCAGCCTGAACCCAAGAAATAGCATGATGAACAATACACGAGCTAAAAGGAGAGCCCGCTGAGCTCGTGGGTTTGCCGCCGCAAGCTCATCAGCTTTTGTAAGCCGCCGCAGAGCGATACCAAAAACACGATGAGCCAGCGTGGTATACGGCGTCAACTCCAGCAGGAAAAGTATCTGGTACAGAAACCTCAGGCTCTCTGATACTGTGTGAAAAATGGGATACAATCGCGTCAATAACTCTTTTATTCGAGCTCGCGTTGGGTAACGATTTGCATAAGCATTGCGCATAGAGACGGCGTCAGGGGAAGAGTCAGTCTGGCGCGTGTACCATTTAGCAGCAAGCTCACTCAAGTAGGGCTTAACGGTGATGAGAAACAGCGTCACGTACCGTTGTGCGTTGGTGATGGGACTAAAACGGAGATGACCGTAAGAAGCACCCTGCGCCGCCCTCATCTCCCCTGCCGCAAGTTCACCGTGCTGCTCAAACAGTGCTGTGTCGGAGAGGCCACCCACTGCGGCGGTGGTGGTGGCGGTGGCGTCAGGCGCCCGCAGGGCCCGTTCCTCCAGGGAGGGTACAGGGGGGGGACCGCGAATCCACCACGACAGCCTCCCTTGAGACGCGGGCTGCTTCGACGGCGACGCAATAGAGCCACGGCGGAGGCCAAACAGCACCTCCGCAAAGGTGGTGTTGGCGTGAAAGAGGAGCCGGTGCTCAAAAAAAGACTGCAGGACGAGCCAAATCTCAGCATCCCACGGCAGACACCGTGCCGCTATGTCACTGTGCTCCGCGAGCAGCAGATGCGCGAACTGGAAGGCCTTGGACAGGGACTTGTTGAGGGAGTTCACTAACGACACCTCCACCCATGTGGGGAGCGGCGATGCGGTGTTAATCTGCGAGAGCAGATTGCTTTCGAACATGGCTGCCTACTGGCGCCACCCTGGTGAAGACCCTGTGTCTATAGCACACGCCCCAGCAAAAGAAGCAGACCTCGCCCAGCCGTCACCCGGCCAACACGTTTATATTTTACTCTCTTTCAGTTTTCAGTCTTTTCAGTTGCCTCTTTTCTTATTCTTCTTTCCTCTTCCAACACTCTCTTCCTTTCAGCGCTTGCTCCTACGCCTACCAGATGCGGGGAGGGGGATGAACGAACCCCTCCGCTTTTCCTCGCCGATAAGGACCCTGCGAAAGGGCCGCAGCCAACACACACACAGAATAGCAAAGAAAAAAAAAAGAGGACGTGGAGAACGGCAAGCGCAGCAGCGATGAAGGAAGGAAAAGAAATGGAAAAAAAAACACACAGAAAAGCAACCAGAAACGCACACACCCACACACACAAAAAAAATAAAAATAAAAAATAAAAATAAAACCGTTGCCAACACCGCCGTGAGTGTGTCGTCTTGTGCCAAGTGCGTGGCCCTCCTTCGCTCACTGCTTTTCACGATTGGAAGAAAACAAACAAACCAAAGTAAGACATGGCCTCATCCCACGTTTCTGTTACTGCAGCCTTCCCCAAGCAAAACGTTCCTCCTCCTTTGAAGGGGGGTATAGCGCTGGCGGCGGTGGAGAGAAGGCGTCTGCAAAACCAAGAAGAAATCGCATAGAAACTACAAAGAAACCACCTCCATTAACTCTCGTCGCATAAATGAACACACGCGGTGCAACTCCATACTCCATTCGTCCACGATGTGTCGATAACTTTCTTTCCTGTCGCTCTCCTGCAGGGCCAAGACGCAGTGCAGCAGCGTCAACCGCCTCGCATGTAACGCCACCTGCCAAGCGAGCGAAAAGTTGCGTCGTGCATTATCAGTCGCCCCATTGGCAGCAGCAAAAAGCAACTCATTAGCACTTTCTGTGACAGGCGTGGGGGATTCGCATGGATGCAGCTCTACCCGTTCCGACTCATTGTACGCCATTGCAAGAAGATACAAGGACTCCGCGGCAGCACCACTGGTGGGTCCCAGGTATCGGCTCACCTGCTGCAGGGCATCCTTAAACATGCAGGTTGCGGCTAACTCGTCCTTTTCCTCTGACATGGCAGCCACACCACGAAGGATGAGCAAAAGCACGTGATTGGGCACAGTCCATGCAGCCCCCCTTTGTTGCAGACTGCGTTCCTCGCCATCTTTTCCCCTTTCTTCTTTTTTCATAGTTGCCGCGTCAAAGCTTGTCTCGAGCGCCTCCAGCACATGGATGAGAGCCATGGCGCAACGATGCCGCTGGTGGACAGTGAGGCCCGTAATTGTGACTCCGTCATCGCTGAGGTGAAGTGCAGACCCCACACGGGCCGCGTGAGAAATTGCGACTCCCTTCATAAGCGACACAAGTAGCAGCGTGGATGGGCTACAAAGGCAAACAGCAGCGGCATTTAACGCCGCCGCCTCTGCAGCAATGACATGTGCATATGGCAAACCCACATCAAACCCAGCAGTGCGTTCTTCCTCATCCTTCTCAGAGTGTCGCTTGTGTTCACCCGTATGTTTGACTTTTGCCACATGGCCTTCACCAGAGAGATGCCGCAGCGACAGCATTGAGGTCAGCTGGGAGACGATGAGATGATAGTGCACCCGTAGACTTCTCGTGTGCTTGTGGAAGACGTCCATGTAGCGGCGCAGCTGATGGAGGTGCCCCACAGCCTCCACCAGCCACAGCTGCGAAAGCGCATACGTACTCATTGTCACTAGTGCAGCACACTTCAGCAGCACCAAAAAACGAATCTCAGCCGAGGGAGAGCTGTAGAGCAGACCTTTTCGTGGGTTGTGCAACTCGCAACCGTGGCTGGTCTCTGTGGTTAGAAGCGTCAACTGCTCGTCAATGCAACGAAGCGTGCCTTCGAACAGACAACGCACCGTATTCTTTATCCCTTGACCAATACCATCGCCCTCTGTGTATGCCCCAACAGGGGGACTTGTTGGCACTAAGTGGGACGACAAGGTTGCCGCGGCAGCCGGAGTATCCATCGCAGCTGCGTGCGTGGCCAAGTAGGACTGCACTGCCGCCAACAAACCGTCGGAAAGCCAGCGCAGTTCCTCCCTCGACGACGCTCCTCGCTCATCCGTTGCAACTTGATATTCGGCCGCTTCCGGCTCACCGCGCTGCCGCTTCACTCCTCGCGGCCCGTCCCAACCCAACGGTCCCCGCAGGCCCACTGCGATGAGCTGCATCATGGACTGCAGCTCCGGAGAAACACCAAAAAGCACATCGCACCGCTGCATGTGTCGTTCCGCCTCTACCACTTGATGGTCAAGGAGTAATGCGGCACAGTAGTAGTGCGCCATTACGCGCGCCGCTGCCCGTATGGAAAACGAATTAGCTGAAGAGGAAAAGCAGAGTGAGCTACACTGCTTGCCGGTTTCCTTGTCAAGAGAAGGTTTTTCCAAACCAGTGGATGCGGCGTAACTTACGTAGTCCTTTGCATGATAGAGCAGCCGGTCCAAGGCGTGTGCGCGTGCATTATGAAGAGCCGCCGCATTCGGCGTGCGAGTTACCGCGGCAACGGACGTTGCGGCGCTCATAAGCTGCGAGTAGTACACACGACAGAACTCCACGGCGAGGAAGGCGTCACAGCAGCGTTTTTCTTCCTTCTTTTGGGCCTCCGCTGCCGCGTCGTCTGCGAGGCTCGTCGCCAGGCCGGCAAGCGGCGCGTGGAAGGCGGTACTGCACCACTGCTCAGCCGCCTCGACACACTTCACCGCTTGTGTGTGTCGGAGCCGGCGGCGATGCACGATCGCACCCAACACGTACGCCTTGACAACTAACGCCACGGGCACGACTCTACTCTCGCCCTCCTCCTCCTCCTCCTCCTCCTCTTCCTGACCCACATCCACTTCTGTTGCTTCTTGTAGTTCTCCGACGGCGACGGCCGCGGCGTCGCGGTGGCCGCCACCCCACAGCAGCGGGGAGACGACGACGCCTTCCAAGTAGCAGCGCGAAGAAATCATCGGTGACAACACAGAATACGCCAAATCCAGTCGTGCCATTGTCGCTGACGGCGCGGCATTGCCGCTCGCTACACTTTTTTTGCCTCGCTGCGGCGGCGAGGAGTTGTACAGCAGCATCTCGGCTGCACGCACCCGACAGAGAATTTCCTCCCGACGATAGTACGGTGGGAGGATGGCTGGGGTCGCGATAAGGGCATGCAGCGTGGCAAACGCATGTAGGCGATGCCCGGCTGCATACAGCTCCTCCGCCACCGCAAAGTAGCGGTGTAGCGTGGGGAGATCCATCATAGCGCGCTGCGAGTCCCTGTCGCTGCCGTGGGCAGAAAACGAAAATGTTATTCTTTTTGTTTTGCATGCGGCACCAATTACGCGCGAGAAAACAAAACAAAGGAAAAAGGGAAATGGATAAGTTTGCGGGTGAGGATGCGTGCAAACACACACGCCGACGGTCCATGGGGCGCAGAGGGATGCGCCCGCACCCTCCTCCCAGAGACGCACGCGCAGAGAGGTAGTTTTATATTCACACCTACGCAGGCGTGTCATGTGACCCACGAGGTATTGGACCGGCAAGTGGGTAGAAACGGAGCAGCGAGTGACAGGGCGGCGAGCCACACATCGACCTGGCAGAGAATTAATGAAGAGGGGCTTTGAAACGTAGAGGAAAAGAAAAAAAAAGAGGAAAAACAACGCCACCAATAGAATTCACTGCTAGTTGTATAGGCCGCAGCTGCCGACGAAAAAGACAAAAAAAAAGGAAAAAGGAAAGAAAAGGAAAAGGAAAAAGAAAAGAA